TTTTTTTGGTCTTTTTGAGACAGGGTCTCCCTGTAGCCCCAGCTGTCCTGGAACTCACTATGGAGACCAGGCTGGCCTTGAACTCAGAGAGATCTGCCTTCCTCTGCCTCCTGAGTGCTGGGATTAAAGGTGTGCGCCACCATGCCCAGCATGAAATAGTCTTTAAATACCTTATTAGTAAGAAGTTAGCCAGTCTTTTTTCACTTCTGGATTTCAGCACTTGTAGCCTCTTTGGGGCTTGTCAGTAGTAAGAGACTATCTAAGGAAGTTACCACATGATATAGCTGCATTTTGAACCATGTAAACCGGTCATACTGTTCTGTGCTAATATTAGAATTCAGAGAAGCTGTATTTTTTTTTATAGTGATTTCAGTGACATTTGTTTGAAGCATGCTGTACTTTAAAAATCATTATTTTTCTTTTTTCCTACAGTCCTCTTTCATCCAAGCATAAGGTAAGAGCTTGTTTCTTTTAAAAATATTTATGGAGCGGGGCGGGGGGGATAAAATAAAAATATTTATGGAGAACATATTAGTATCATATGTGTTTTGTATGGACTGTTTTACAAAAACCTTTCACAAAATTTTCAGTTTTCTAATTTAAGGCAACAGTTTCTCAAAAAAGTTGTGATTCCCCCCTTGTTTTAAACTTGTAGATGGCAGCTGTGGAGCAGTCGCTGAGAAGGGAATGCACTACACAGTCAGTGGTGTCTGAAGACCGGAAGGACAGAAGAGCTACTGCCAAAGAATCAGGGGCCTCTGTAAATGACACTAGAGTAAGGATGAAAGGTACCTGTTGTCTGTGGCATTTTAAAGCATTCAAACTGAATTTCTGTGATGGAAATTTTTTTACATTTAGGTTTTGTACATATTCTTCTAAAAAATACAGAACCAAAAACAGATTTTTCATATGTAATTCTTTTTTTGCTGGGGAGGGGAGCAGAGGAGGGTCTTTCAGGGTCTCCAGCTGGCCTGGAATTCACTATGTAAACCAGGCTGGCCTTGAACTCACTGAGATCCATCTGCCTCTCTGCCTCCTGAGTGTTGGGATTAAAGGCAAATGCTACCACACCTGGCCAAATAACTTGGTTTTTTTTTTTTTTTTTTTTTTTTTGGTCTTTTTGAGACAGGATCTCTCTGTAGCCCCAGCTGGCCTGGAACTCACTATGTATACCAGGCTGGCCTTAAACTCACAGAGATCCACCCGCCTCTGCCTCTGAAGATACTGGCAGAAAAGGCATGCGCCACCACGCCCAGCTGTATTGTTTGGAATTTTAAAACAGTTCATTTTTCTTCATTTGTAGAGACTGAAACTTATGCTGGCATGGAATCAAGTAAAGAAAGCCGACATAAAGAGCCCCGGGAGAGCAGCCCCAGCTGTCATCAGATGGACTGGCAGGCTGCTTCCCCCAGCCTTCCAGTAACTGCAGGGAAGGACCACAGGGAGGAATTGCTCTGCAGCACTGAAGCCACACTGGCGCTCCACACCCAGTCCCCAGAGACAGCCAGAAGCAGGTCAGGGCCAGTCGCTGCAGCTGAGAATGCCTGTAAAGATGGCAGCTGTTTGCAGGCGCCTCCCACAGAGGACCACCCCAGTGTGGCCCAAATAGAGGGTATTACTGAAGACCCCATTCATGAATCAGTGAGAGAACCACTGGCCCTCCCAGGCTGTGACTGTCCTCCTCCTTTGTTGGTTTCTGAAGGTAAATATTCACAGACACACCGGAAAGAACTCCACTTGCCTCTTCAGGATGTGTTTGAGGCATTCCCCAGGAGCCAGCAGGAGAAGAGTGAATTAAGTGAGCCTCAGCAACCTGATCTCACAGCCAGTGATGGAAAATCACCTCAGAATCAGACTGACTCAGAGACTGGCTCTGAGAGTGCACTTTGTGATGATAGTAAAATCTCTGACCTAAATGCACTGCTTCTAGAAGAGTGTATGGCCCCAGAGGAAAGGAGGGAGAGGGAAGACCAAGTCAGTAAGGAAACAGAAGACTATCTGAAGAGCCTTTTGGAAGGGTGCTCAAGAGACACTGAAGAGTCCCTCTTCTGTGAAGACAACCAGGACGACGACTCTGACCTCCCTCAAGATCTTTCTCCTGAAGAAGCATCCTACAGTCTCCAGGAGAGTTTGCCTTGTGACGACACCTGCCTTTCCCTGGATGATCTTGCCAAAAGGATAGAGATCGCAGAGGTAAGGTCGAGATGAGATACTAAGAGTAAGTGAAATCTCACATCTACAAAATACTGCTTGTTTTATGTTTTTTCTGTAGTTTTAAAGCTTGATGGAAAGTGTTCAGTTAACAAACTTTTAATTGTTTGTTAAATTGTACATGTTAACAGTTCAAGAAGCTCTAAACAGATCCGGGAGGCATGGTTATAAAGCACCATTTTTGTTTTTCAGTCCTGTTAATTTATTTTTATTTAGCATTCCCAGGAAGCTTAGGATGAAGATAAGATTAGTCACACTCTAATAAGAAAATCTCATTTTTCTTGCTCATACACACAGTAATAAAATCTCAGATGGGCATGGTGGTGCATGCCTCTAGTGCCAGCACAGGGGAGGCAGAGGCAGGCAGATTTCCATGAGTTCAAGGCCAGCCTGGTCTACATAGTTGAGTTCCAGGCCAGCAGGAGCTAAAGGGAGATCCTGTCCCAAAAAAGAAAAAAAGAAAGAAAAGGAAATCTCGTGTATGCTCAATGTATTTCTTTTATTAATACACATTTTTTAATTATCTGAAATGATCTTAAGAGAATAGAGGAAATTTTAAAATATAATAACACTGGGAGGTAGTTGACTACTTTTAAAGCTCTTAAGTAGCAAACACAAAAAACAAAGGAAAGAGGACCCTTGTCTTTTGTTTAAAAAATTCAAGAAAGGAAAAGGTTTTAAAAAAAAATAGCAAGAAAAAAAAAAAAAAAGCAAAGGAAAAGTGACCTTTCTCTTTTGTCGGTTAATACAAAGAAGTCCAGGAGAAGAAGAGGTAAAAAGCCATAGCAGATGGCACACCCTCATCATGGGACCTGGTAGGGTGAGCAAACTCAGATTGCCAGGGCTCTGGGCAGCTCCCTTGGGCTCATCAGCCTCCTGGGTCACTTTGTATCTCTCTAAGCCACATCTGGGGAAAGTTAAGACTCTTTTCTTCTCCTTTTTTCCTCCTTCCTTCCTCCCTCCCTCCCTCCTTCCCTCTCTCCCTCCCTCCCTCTCTCCCCCTTCCTTCTTCCCTCCCCCCTCCCTCTCTCCCTCTCTCCTTCCTTCCTTCCTTTTCCTTCTTAAAGTTAACTTTAAAGTCCCATTTAAACTGGGTGTGGTAGTTGACACCTGTAATCACAGCCCCAGAGAGCCCTTGGCTGTATGATCTCTCTTAGTTTGAGACCAGCCTTGACTACAGCGTGAGACCCTCTCAATCCACCCCCTAAAATTCTCATTTATACCCATATTCTAACAGCATTATCTTGGAAAAAAGTAAATTCAGGAAAAAATTGGAAAAATAACAAAGCAAAAGTAGGTAATAAAATACATGCAAGAATGGAATTCCCTGACCTGCTTCCTCAGGATCAGTCTGTTCTGTTACTATTTGTTCATTTTCTATGAATTATGATTTTTCTTTTTAAATTTTTGTCAAAATTAAATAAAAAATAGTAAAGCTCAACAGTCTTCTGTGTATTCTAAGCAGACCACCTGATTGTCATTTGCAGCTGGTTCCCCCAAAACTGTAATTTTGTATCTTAATTTTCTCTTACCAAAATTATTTAATATTGCTTGATGGATTAGAGTATCTGTTTAAGGCAGTGATACAGTTTGGTAATAGATGGTGATGATGGTCACACATTTTTTAATATAATACACTGAACTATATATATGAAAAGAGTTAAACTGGGCATGATGGCACAGGTCTTTAATCCCAGCATTCTGCCAGGAGGCAGAGACCAGTAGATCTCTGATCTCTTGAGTTCCAGGTGAGCCTGTAGAGTGAATTCCAGGCCAGCCAGGGTGACATAGTGAGACCCTGTCTAAAATACGGGTGTGGGAGGGAGCTAAAATGGTAATTTTATGTTATATATATATTTTAGCACAATTTTCAAAATAGTTTTTTGGTTTTTTTTTTTTTAATTGAGCTAATAGTAAAGCCCTTGACCCAGAGTTCACCTCATGTCTGTTTTAATCAGAGCTCCCATACAGGGAGTTATTAAACTAGTAGGTGAATGTATATTACAGCTAAATGGAGCATTCCTTCCTCAGATTCTTAACACAGTGTCTATTTTCCTATTAGACAATGGCTAACAGTGGAAAGTTTAAGGTTTGTCTGTTCTGTAGAATTAATACATAATGGTCTCCTGTAAAATTTTATTCGTCTATTAAGTTCTGCTGTTTAAGAAGTCCCAAAAGCGACATGTGGTTAACAAAGTAATTTATTTTCCTATAATAATGTACTTCCTCCAGTATCTTTTCTAGCAGGTATATTTTAATAAAATCTGCCTTTCATCTTAAACTAAAAGAAATCTCTAATATTATTTTCTTGACACTCTAAGAATGAAATCTGGAGTTAAATAAAATGCACATCTTATTAGTGGTTTATTATAAGTAGAATCATTTACGTACACAGACACATATATTGTTTGCTTTGAGACAGGCTGGCTTTCTACTTACTAAGTAGCCAAGGAGAGCCTTGAACTCCTGATCCTCTTGCCCCCACCTTCCAAATGCTGTGATTACAGGAGTACACCACATTTTTGTTTGGTTAGTTTCTGTGCTGGAGATAGAACACAGAACCTTGCCTATGGTAGGCAAACACCCTGCCACTGAGTTATATATCCCCAAACCCTTAAGTTTTATTAAGAGCCTTCGTGTATCTGGCGCTATGGGGGCCTGGTAGATGGATGAAATTCTTGGCTTGTAGGTGTTCTTGACTGTCACCTCTGACTAACTTAACCAGAATTCTGAAATATTTTTCAGGCTTTCCTCTTATTGCAACCATAGTTTCATGATAACTAAATAATACATCTGAGCAGTATTTCTCATGCCCTAGGGAGCCTGTTTACCTTCCCTGTTTCACACGCTGCTGCCCATCCCTGTTAGCCCTTCCGTCTCCCCATAGCTGCTGACCACTTCTGTCCTGCAAGGGATTCTGCCCTCACAAGGGCCCATTCTGCTGTCAGCTCTTCACTACTGTGGAAGATGATGCTATGTCCCCATTATTTTATAATTTTGTGTGAGTTCTGCAGTGGTAGAGAGCACTTGCTGCTGTTGCAGAGGACCCAGGTTTGATTCCTAGCACCCACATGGTGGCTAACAACTGTCTTTAACTCCAGTTCCAGGGCATCCAATGCCTTCCTCTGACCCCTGGGAATTGCACGATAGGTGTGCACTTCCATACATGCAGACAATACACTCATACACATATTAAAAAAAAACTAATAATAATAATACAGGTTGCCAAGGGCTAAAGAGATGACTCAGTGGTTAAGAGCAGTTGCTGCTCTTCCAGAGGACCTGAGTTTAGTTCCCAGAACCCACATCAGGTAACTAACAATTGCCTGTAACTCCAGTTCTAGGGGAATCCAACACTCTCTTCTGCCTTTTGTGGGCACCCACACCCAAGTGCACATACTTAGAGGCAGACACACATACAGACACACAAATAAAAATAAAATAAATCTTTAAAAAATATAGGCAGAGCCAGGTGCAGAAGTACCCACCTTTAATCCGGGCACTCAGGAAACAGATGCAGATAGATCTGAGTCCCAGGCCAGCTTGGTCTATATAGTGAGTTCCAGGCTAGCTAGGGCTACACAGCAAGACCCTGCTTCAAAAAAGAAATAAAGGTTAGCTGTTGAGGCTGAGGAGATGGCTTAGAATTGGATAAGAGTGTTTACAGTGCAATCATGAGGGCCGCAACCTCAGAGATGGGCAGGTGGAGGAAGACAGGATTGCTGACCAGCTAGTCTAGCTAAAAGAGGCAAGCTTCAAATTCTGAGAGACCCTGTCTCAAGGTAACCCCTCCACTCCACCCCCACTGACAGGATTGCTGACCAGCTAGTCTAGCTAAAAGAGGCAAGCTTCAAATTCGGAGAGACCCTGTCTCAAGGTAACCCCTCCACTCCACCCTCACTCCTGGCAAACACACACACACACACACACACACACACACGAGAGAGAGAGAGAGAGAGAGAGAGAGAGAGAGAGAGAGAGAGATTAGCTGCCACGGGCCTTTCCACTAAGTAAAGGTGGGAAGCCATGCTAAGCGGTCTTTTTGAAATGGAGTTAGCTGTTCTGTGGGTCTTGCCAAGAGGAAAGTCTTAGAAATGGCAGTCATGGAAGTTCTGCTCAGAATGGCTTTGTCAGGGAAAGCAGGGCAACAGAGCTTGCTCACAGTAGAAGAAATGCAGGCTTCCAGTAACATTGGCAGGTCTGTGTGAGCCATGATTTATGTAGGTCTCTAATCCCCAAGGAAAACCCAGGATAGCCCATTTTTAATTTGTGCTGGGTAGTGTCATTTCTGCCTTTCGTTTTTAGCCCACTTTTGAAACTTTGTTGTTAGCTAATGTATCTCTTGATTGTCATGTTTCTTTTCTAAGTTCCTTTTCTTTCCTATTGTAATTACTTTTAAAGTTTACATCTTTACTGTTCTTCCTGGACATTTGCATTAGCTGCTTAGTAGGTTTCCCCATCTTCTCCCCCTCATATGTTCTCATACTAGCACTATGTAGACGTGGAGTCTCAAACTGATATTCAAAGGGGCAACTGGATCATAAATTTGAACGAAATGACTTAGATATGGAGCAATAGAGAAGTTTCATGCCTTTCTAGAAGTTTTCATCTTTTTAAAACATTCTGCTATTAAGTTAAATACACCTAAAATGTCCTTTGTACCACCAGCCCCTCCCCTCTGCCCCTGTAGCATTAAGGACAAGGCCTCCATACTAACAGGTGAACCAACAGAACTCAGGACTCCTATTACCTGGCCCATCCACCTTTCCAACGTTGTGGTCTCCTACTGCCTTGTATTTTCCCTGCTGTCAGTCTGGTCTCGCGCAGCCTCCACATACATCCTGCACATTCTCACTCTGCTCTTTGCCGTCTGTGCTGTCAGTAACAAACCTTCCATATCTGTTTCCTCCCAACCTCAACATCCATCATCCCACTTCATGCAAAGTGCCCAGCGCAGTCCCTGGCTCAGGTCAGTACTCAGA